CCCTACACCCCCAGGGATGCAGGTTTAAAGTTAGATTAAATGAGATGCCAAGAAAATAAAGAACTGGGAGGTTCCTTGCACACCTCCCTCTTGAGGCAGTCTACTCTCATGATCTGGCCTGAGGGGCAGGGATGTCTGGAGCTCTCCCTCCTATGAACATGTTTGCCCTCCTCCAGGGGCCTTCTGGAGAGCATCTTCACCTTGAGAGAGGATTGCCCAGACAGTCTCATGAGGAAGACATCTTTAAGCAGGGTGAGTTCATCTGAGAGCAGGGAAAGCTGAAATCAGTCCCTGGGGAAGGGAAAGGGGCTGCAGGTGGTGGGGATGCCTCAGCAGTGTAAGTTGAGGGGCGGGGTCAGAGAGGAGAGTCCCAGGAGAGTGTACAGAAGAAATAACTGCATCTCCAAGACATCTTCAAGAGCCTGGCTCTGGAGGATGATGGGGGATTCATCTCTGGGCAGAAGCCCTGGTCCTTCTTGCACCCTGAGAGCAAATTCAGCCTCTTGTCAGTGGCTGCAGGCTCTGCGCAGGAGACCAAGCTCAACCAGAGACATGCCCACCTGTGTAGCTCAGGACTCCTTCCCTGGTGGCTGTGCTTGTTGTCCAGGGGTGGCCGCAGTGGTCCTCCTGGCCAGCTGCTCCCAGCTCCACCTTCAGTGACTAGCCTCCCTGGTTCCCACTGGTTCCCAAGCCTGGGTTTCTGGGCTTCATATCAATCAGTTCTTTGAGTTAGGCTTCTGTTCTGCCACCTTCCTTTCCCGCTCAAGTTATCTTGACTTGGGAACACCCTGATCCTTGAATGGCACCACATTTAAAAGCCCCCATGCTTGCCCACTTGTGTGTGTGTGGTCACCCTGATGGGCTTGGCTTCTCCTAAGACTGTCTTGTATTTGGGGCAGAGGAAAGGGTTCATGCCACAGAAAAAGTTGACTCCTCAGGGTCAGGAAGGGTGGTGGCAAGTGCAAGACAGGCAGGGGTCATCCAGGGGGCCCGGCTGGCACCCCTCTAAGCCCCCACATCTTGTTTGCCAAAGGAGCCAGTGTAGGAACAGGCAGGACTGTGCTCTACGGACACCACGGTGATGATAGCCATTAGTCATCATAAATTTTATTTATTTATTTTGGCTGTGTTGGGTCTTCGTTGCTGCGCGTGGGCTTTCTCTAGTTGCGGTGAGCGGGGCCTGCTCTTCGTTGTGGTGCGCGGGCTTCTCATTGCAGTGGCTTCTCTTGTTGTGGAGCACGGGCTCTAGGAGCACAGGCTTCAGTAGTTGCGGCACATGGGCTCAGTAGTTGTGGTGCACGGGCTTAGTTGCTCCGCGGCATGTGGGATCTTCCTGGACCAGGGCTCGAACCCGTGTCCCCTGCATTGGCGGGTGGATTCTAAACCACTGCGCCACCAGGGAAGTCCCATAAATGTTAATAACAGCTACTGATTGACCTCCTGCCATGTGGCTGGCCTTTCTCCCAACAAACCTATGTGGATGTCAGTTACCACCTGCACTTTATAGGTAAGGAAACCCTCTCAGAGAGGTTGTGTAACATGCCTAAAGTTGCACAGCTGGTGAGTGGTAAAACCAGGATGGAAAGCCAGGTCTCTCCCCGATCTATAACCATCAGTCAAATTCTCCACAGGCTGTGCCTCCTCCACGAAGCCCACCGTGAATGTCTGAGGCCCTGTAGCCCCTCTGAAACACCATGGCACTGAGCCCCCATTTAAGCAGACACTCACTGAGCACCCAATCTTTGTGCGCTGGAGCCTCTGCTGGCTTTTGGGAGACAAGGACAAACACCTTCAAGCACCCGAGATCTCACATCCCCTAGCAACCAGTATGGTTTCCGCCTTCTTGAGGTCTCCCACCATTGGCAATTTTACATTTAACTAACCATTGCTCTCTAGAGCTGCCACTGCACACTTCCACTATAACCTGTATTTATCAGCCAAAACTGATAACCTTTTCACTCATAAGCAGTGAACCTTAATAGTCTTTGCCAGCCTATGAGGGCCTCTGAGCAATTTCCATCAGGCTTTTTGATCAGCTGAAGCTATGATCATCAGAACATCCAAGCTGGAGCCCCAGTAAGGCACAAAGTGAGAAAGTTTCAACCGAGGCCCCCAGCATTTTGACATTGTGACAGGCCCATTTCCCATCATGTGAATTCTGTAGTGTGTCCTCGTCAGACTGTTGGGTGACGGCAATTCGCTATGAGTTACCAACCTCAGGTAACTCAGCTTTGCCAAATAACCAGTGATACTAACAAAACCTCATATAAGGGTGCTCTGAGCTCAGCCATCAAGGCGTTAACAGACACCTCTGTGTGACCACGTATGAGGGGTGGGGTAGGGGTAGCACCTCGGAAAGGGTCAGCCAGTGCCCCAGGTAGGGGTTCTTAAAGGGAGCATAAGACTCAACTCACAGTCCTCACACAGTTCACAAGTTTATTTGTCCAAAATAAATACAGTCTGAGAACATCCATTTCAATACTCCTACACACGACTTCTTCACCGAAAGAGCAGCGTAAGATATAGACACACAGTTTGCAGTGCATGTTCTCAGGTTAGGCTCAGGAGGGTGTTTGCCCTGGCTTGTGCTGGGCTGGGTCTAGCTGTGAAGATCCCGCCCCCCGCCAGGTTCCCTTCTCTGCTTGGGACCTGAGTCCCCTGCCAGGACCCCTACAGCCTGTTCCTGCTCCTGGAGGACCTGCCATCTCTCCTCTCTGCAGCCTAAAGAGAGCGGCATTCACAACCGTGTGGCCCTGTGGCCAGCCCCTCGCAGAGAGCTCTCCTATAACACCAGCTACCGCTGCAGGCCCATTGCCAACTCCTGACCCTGGAAGCAGCTCACCCCGGGCAAGGGGAAAAACTGAGGCACAGCTGGCAGATGGATGGGAAGCACTCTCTCCTGAGCCCTGCCAGGAGGCTGAGAGCCCCTGATGAAGGGAGAAAGGGACATTCACTACCCTCCCCCAGGTATCCCCTGGGGCCTGGCCCACCAGGGAGCAGGAAGAGGGGGCGACCACCCTTTGTCTTCTCTTTGCAGATCAAAGGTTCGGGTCCACGTTCTCCTGGTCTGAGGCTGCCTCATCGTCATCTGGGGACTCCTATATCAGAGCCAGAGAAACCCAGTCATGGGCTTGTGCCACCCCCGAGTCATAGTCTGGGGGCCAGCATCTCCTTCCTCTTGCCCCTGCTGCCAACGGAGCCAGAGGAGGCTCTGCCACCCCCTCCCCATGGTCCTTTGGCGTTCCCTGTCCTAGCTCCCAGGCTGCCCACGGCCACATGGCCCACCATTGGGTGACTCCCTCTTACCAGGCTGAGGCCCCTGTCCTGCCGCAGGGTAGCATAGAAGTTCAGCACACGGGGGTCACAGCGAACCACCATGGGGTCAAAGTCCAACACACATAGGCCCTGCAGGCTGCGGGCCCGGGAAAGGGCCACATAGGCCTGGCCGCTGGCAAACACACGGCCCAGAGAGATCTCCACGCAATCCAGGGACATGCCCTGGGGGGTGGAGGGACAGGGCTGGAGCCAGCTCAGCCTGAATTCACTTGTGCCCAAGAACCTGACCCCATCTCCACAAGCCCAGCTATTGCCCCTGATCTCCTTGCCCAGTCCAGAGATTCTGAGTCAGAGAGACAGGATGATAGGTGTCTGAGTCGGGGGGTGTACAGGAAATACAGATCCAAGATAAGAGTAGAGAGATAAGGGTGAAAGGAAAGAGCTCAGGTCTGGGTCAGACAGGCATGGAAATGAATCTTGGCTCTGCAGGGCACTAGCTGTGTGACCTTGGACAAGTTACTTAACCTCTCTGAGCCTTGGTTTCCTCTTCTGTAAAACAAGAATGATTATTACAACTATACCTCCTACAGTTGTCGTAATATGTTAAAATTAACATATCCAATAGTGGCTCAGAAAATGGCAGGGCCCGAGATGACAGAGGGGACGTGTATGTGTCCAGGAAAGAGAGAGGAAGTGGGATGGGAAATGCACTAAAGAAAGGTTTATTCTACAGCTGGTCTGGAACTTTCCATCCAGGGCAAGTTCAACCCTCATAAAGCCTCTAAGACCCCCCCACCCTTCAACAAGCCCCAGGCCTATCCTGCCCCCATCCCCATACTCACCTGGCTCTTGTGGATAGATATGGCCCAGGCCAGCTGGAGGGGCAGCTGCTGCCGGCTGAGAAGCCGGCCCCCAGTGGCCTGCACCATCCAGCGGTCAGCACGGATGACCTCGGTGACTCCACACAGGAACCGCACCTGGGGCAGCCCTGAGGGAGTCGTGGAGAAGTCCCACCTTTCAGTCCCGCTTCAGGGCTCCAAGGTGAGGACAGGCCTCACCTTTCCATGCTAGTCTTTTCCTCTGCACACTAACCCCAGGGCCCTGCTGCAACCCCGAGCAGTAGGACTGCTCCCCTATCACTTACCTCTCCCCTCAGCTTCGAACCCAACTACTACCCCTCGGGCACCGTTTACCAGGCCCCGAGACACTGCCAAGTTCTTCACCAGCATCACCTGCGAGAGAAGGAAAACTGGAGGCAGGGACAGCAGGGCATCCCTACGCCTGGCCTCAGCTCCTGGGGTCGCTTCGGCGGATCTCTGAGGCTGGGCTCTGTCATGGAGGGGCACTGAGTCTGCTGGGGCCCCTGCGACAAACTGCTTTATTTCCTTAGGTCTCAGTTTCCCCTTGTGCCAAAGGGGAATGACATTTGCTCAGTTTGCCTCAGAAGGAGGGGGTAAAGAACAATAAGGTGACAGGGCACAATGACCATGTCTATTAGAGGGAATGTGTATGGACCTCAATCTTGAGGGATAGCCCTCTTCCAACCACTGTGCCTGCATTTCCCCCTAGGTGCCCTTTGGAACCTGAGAAAAGGATCCCACCCTCACCATTGTGGAAGGAAGGAGGATGCTCACAGTAGAGGCTACACTACAGAAGACAACTGAGTGCGGTAGGTATTTTACTCTGAATTTAGAGATGGGGAAACCCAGCTTCAGTGAAGGAAAGAGATTTGTCTAAAGCAACACTGCTTGGAGCTTCAGGTGGGGGAAGAGGAGGGCAGTGGAAAATGGAAAGAAGGAAGGTGGCTGGGAACAGGAGGGAAGAAGTTTGCTATGGTCTCAGCTGGGTCCTCTGGCTGTGGAGCAGCTCATGCAGAGGGGCTATAGGATCAGGGAGGCCGACACTCCCAGGGTCTAGGCCCTGCTTCCCACTCACCTGAGCCCCCAGCTTTAGCTGAAGGAGCTGGCTAACGGGACATTGGGCATCCAGGGTCCGGGCTTGCTCAGGGTCACTGTCCATGGCCTCAAAGCTGTGTACCTCACCTGGGAAAAGAGAGTTGCGCAAACAGATTACAAGTCACTGACTTGTGGCTCAATTTCCAAAAAAACACATGTTAGACCAGGGCATGGAGAGAGGTAGTGAGCACAGCTCAAACCTAGCTGGGGCTCTGGAATCAGAGGCCTGGGTTCAGGTCTCATTTTTAGTGTTTACTGGCTGAATGACTTTGACCCAGGAAAGGTCACATCTCTCAAAGACACAATTACATCTGCAAATGTAAGGGACTTTATGGTCACAGAGGCTGGGACCGAGATATCTAAATGACACCAAGGGCCCAGGCTGCCTCGGGGGCCATGCCTGCCTGATGGCCTCTCCCAGCTGGTTTGGCCCAGCCCCAGCTCCCTGCTCACCTGGTAGTTTCTGCAGCTGCCTCTCGTTGGTAAGGGCCACATCATCCTGGTGGGTGCAGAGCCTCGTGGCCACAATCCCATCTCGCCCCACCCTGTGGGCAGCCGTGGCCCGGAGCTGGCGGGTGACCTCATCTGAGCACCTGCGGAGGCCAGCTATCAGGGAGGAGCCTACCTGAACACCAGGGAAGGCGGGGCACATGGATGATATGGCCCATGCAGCAGGCCGTGGACCAGGCTTGGGGACTGGATGGGGCACCAGGGCAAGATTTGCTGGTTCGCCAAGCTGGCCAACTTGTTCCTTCCTCACTTGGACCCCAGACATGGAGGATGAGCACAGGGGTGGTGCTTGGCTGTGATCGTGGGCAGGCACCCTTCCCTGTGTCTGCCCCCGGGCTGGAGCTAGCCGCTCTCCTGAGGAAGTTAGATATGAGGAGTGAGCATAGGCCAGAGATTTAGAGACCGAGGTGAGGCTCTGATGTTGATACCCTGTAATACTGGTACCCTATAATCAGATTGGCCTCCAAGCTACAATTTTCTAGCCCCTTGCCTGCTGCCTTAGGGGGAAAAAACAATCTAGCCTGTGTTTCTATTCTCCCCATTTCAAGCCTTCCTCCAGGGAAGCCTGGGTGCTGCAGCAACTCGAGAGGAGGGGGAAGAAGTTGGGAACACCTCTCACTGCTCTGCCACTCAGCCTTTCTCTTGTCCCCCACACTTGCTGGTGTATGCTGTGCACCTTCCTACCTGCCTCCTGTCCCCAGGCATAGAAAGCCCCTCACCACCGCCACCTGCTTCCTTCATCCCATCCCAATCTGACCTGGGTCCCAAGACCCAGCTGCGGTCCATATCTTCTGCCCTCCTGGCTTCCTTTCCACTCCCAAGTTAGAGTACCTGTAGCATTCCAACCTTTTGTCCTAGCTGGGGTGGGATCATGTCTGCAACCTCCTCTCCCCCACCAAGTGGCCGCACAGGCTCAAAGAGTAGAAGGAACTTGGGTTTTAGAGTCAGACCTGAGTTCAAATCCTAGCTCAGCCACTTACTAGCCATGACTTTGGACAAGTCACTTCACCTCTTTGAACCCCAGTTTCTGCATCTGTAAAATGGGAGTGTTAACATCTCTGAATAACTCTTGTGTCTCCATCTGCCCATAATTCCCTGAGATGTACTCTGTGCCAGGCCCTGTGCTGGATGATAGGGACCCAACCCTGGGGGAGGCTGGGCCCTAGTGCTCACAGAGTGACCATCCCCAGTGGGGCCATGAAGCATTTCTTTCCCTTCTCTGGGTTCCTGTGCTCCTCTCTGACCCACGCTTGGATCCGCATCCCACGGCCCCTTCTCTATCCACCAGGGCCCACCTGCCCAGCCGCACAGCTTGCAGCAGAGAGATGAAGGTCTTGTCTGTCTGCCTCCACACCTCGGTCAGCTCCAGGGTCACTGGGACACATCTCCTCCAGCTCTTGGCCTGGTGGGGGCAAGGTGGGGCGTCAGGGAGCAGAGCAGACCCCTATAGGGGTTAGGGCCAGAGGGTGAGTGCTACCTGGAAGCAGAACTGCGGGGGCTGGGATCCCTTGGTTACAGGCGGCAGCTGCAGGAAGTCCCCACAGATGATGAGCTGGATCCCTCCAAATGGCTTGTTCTGCTGCCGGACAGCTCTGGAGAGGAGGATGTGGTGCTTTAGGTGCTGGGGTGAGCGAGTTCCACATGGAAGACCACCAGAACCCAGTCCTCACTGCCCATACTGACCTGGCCACGGCTTCCAGCTTATCAAATAGGTCTGCTTCCACCATGGAGATCTCATCAATGACTAGCCGCTGGCAGTTCAGCCAGCCCTGCCGCACACCTGGCCGCTGGGCCAGGGCCACACACTGGGCCAGGGGAGCCTGGCCCGAGCCAATGCCTGTGAGTGACACTATTCAGCCTGGGCTGAGATCCCAGCCCTGTCTCAACCCTGACCTCCCCTCTCTTCCCACCTGCCTGGCTTGCTCCCAGCTTAAGTCCCAGAGGCTCTCACTTACCTGCAAAGGCATGGAGGGTAGTACCCCCGATGTGGCAGGCTGCCACCCCCGTGCTGGCAGTGGCCACAGTGCCTGTGGGAGGCAGTGAGCCCAGGATACGCTTCAGCAGATAAGTCTTCCCCGTCCCTGGGCAGAAGGCAAAGTCAGGCCCATTTCTCCTCCATCCTAGCACACCACTGTCCTCCCCACACCCACTCTGCCCCCCACTACCTGCACTCCCAGTGAAGAAAATGCTCCGGCCTTTCAGGACAACCCTCAGCACAGCAGCCTGTTCCCTGGAAAGCTCTGGTTTGGTGGGGGGCAAGCTCAGCTTCTTCACAGGCAGGGGCCACCTTGGGACTTCCTGGGGGGATAGGGCTGTCTCAGGGCCTCCCCACATTCCCTAGGCATTGTCCCCTCCCTTCTTGGCCTGGTAGCCCTTTGTGTCTCTGCTGGCTTCTCTCCTTGGAGCCCTTGGGCAGCCTCGGTTCACCTGGAGATCTTGCCAGTAACCACAGGGGTCCAGGTCTCTCCTTGAGGAAGGGACCGAGGCTGGATCTCCACTGACTCCTGGTGCCCTGAAGACCCCAGTGTGCAGGTCCAGATTCTCCTTCAGCTTTCTCCCCTGGGTTCCCTAACTCTCCTGATTCTCTTACCCATCCTTCCTTCTCACTGCCCTTCCTGTCACAGATGTGTCTCTCTTGCCTCAAAACACCCAAGCAAAACCCTGCCTAGCCAGGGCGCCTTCTTGCCACATCTCCTTCTTCTCACCAGCTTGTCTCAAACCTCTGTGGTCTGTGATCCATCTGTTCCAGTTCCTGAACACTGTCAGACCCACCAGACTTTGTCCCCCTATCTGACTGGACCTGTTGGCTGCCCCTACACAGCTGACCGCTTCGTTCTCTCCAAAACCTCCTCTACTCCTCCAGGGCGACCAGGTTCCCACTTTTCTTCTGAAGCACCTTCTCTGCTTTCTCTCTCTCTCTCTTTTTTTTTTTTTTTTTTTTTTGCGTACGCGGGCCTCTCACTGCTGTGGCCTCTCCCGTTGCGGAGCACAGGCTCCGGACGCGCAGGCTCAGCGGCCATGGCTCACGGGCCCAGCCGCTCCGCGGCATGTGGGATCTTCCCGG